TATGCGCCTCAATTCTGGATACTGAACTAACCTAGTCTGTCACCCCGTTGGAGAATAGGGAAAGTTATGAATATGATTAAAGGAGAAGAAAAGCGGCATCCATGGCTTCTACTTGCAGAAGTCGCTCCTTGTTAGTATTTCAAGACCTTTATACTATGAGTTGAAGGTAAGAGTTCGAAGAACATGAAGGGAGATCCCGTTAGAGTAGAGCAGTTCACCGCCATTTACCCCTTAAGGTGCTTTTTAAAGCACCGCTTTGTTTGTTTCATGCATTCCCTAAATATCATGCACTACAGTGCATGTAACATGTTGTAACATGTATCATATCATCGCACTTATTGCATTTATTTGCATCTTGTGTTATCTTGTATCATTTATCCTTTCACGCTGTGCAGCGTTTAGGTTGTGTGGAACGAGCTCCTGATTTATCATTTATCATTTATCATTTATCATTTATCCTCTGGGGCTATCTTAGGTTGCGTGGAACATTTAGGTTGCATCTTGTGTTATCTTGTATCATTTATCATTTATCCTCCGGGGCTATCTCAGGTTGCATGGAATGCGCTCCTGATTGTGTGTTTTCGAACCTCTTCTCACGAGTTCAGCGTGGTTAGAGTGTTCTTTTCCTCACACGATTTCAGTGTGTTTGGAATTTATCTCAGGTTGTATGGAACGCGCTCCTGATTGCTTTGTTTTAGACCTCTTCTCACGATTTCGGCGTGGTTAGAGTGTTCTTTTCCACACATGATTTCAGCGTGTTTGGAATTTATCTCAGGACGCATGAAGCGCGGCCCTGGGCGTATTTTATCTCGGGACGCGTGAAGCGCGAGCAGTAGCAGCTTTTAGACCTCTTCTTACGATTTCAGCGTGGTTAGAGTGTTCTTTTCCTCACACGATTTCAGCGTGTTTGTAATTCATCTCAGGTTGCATGGAATGCGCTCCTGATTGCTTGTTTTCGAACCTCTTCTCACGATTTCAGCGTAGTTAGAGTGTTCTTTTCCTCGTACGATTTCAGCGTGTTTGGAATTTATCTCAGGTTGCGTCGTGTGCGCACCTGGGCGGTTGTTTTAGACCTCTTATCACGATTTCGGCGTGGTTAGAGTGTTTTTTTCCTCACACGATTTCAGCGTGTTTGGAATTTATCTCAGGTTACGTCGTGTGCACACCTGGGCGGTTGTTTTCGAACCTCTTCTCACGGTTTTGGCGTGGTTAGAGTGTTCTTTTCCTCACACGATTCAGCATGTTTCGAATTTATCTCAGGTTGCGTCGTGTGCGCACCTGGGCAGTTGTTTTAGACCTCTTCTCACGATTTCGGCATGGTTAAAGTGTTCTTTTCCTCACACGATTTCAGCGTGTTTGGAATTTATCTCAGGTTGCGTCGTGCGCACACCTGGGTGGTTATTTTCAGGCCTCTTCTCACAATTTTAGCGTGGTTGGAGTGTTCCTTTCCTCACATGATGCCAGCGTGTTTGGAATTTATCTTAGGTCGCATTGAACGCACCCCTGGGCGGTTGTTTTCGGGTCTCTTCTCACGATTTCAGCGTGGTTAGAGTGTTCTTTTCCTCACATGATTTCAGCGTGTTTAGAATTCATCTCAGGTTGCATGGAACGTATCTAAGTGGTTATTTTCAGACCTCATTTCACGATTTCGGCGTGGTTTAAGTGTCCCCTTCCTCACACGATTTCAGCGTGTTTGGGATTTGTTCTTCTTCCTCTCACGATTCCAGCGTGGTTGGAGTATGTCACCCCTTTTTGCATCTACTGCACTATTTGTTTCGTTTATTACATCATACCATGTTATCGCTTGCATCCTTTCCATGTTAAGCTTAGTCTGGCATGTGCTCATACATTTCCTTCGTTGAGGCATGGTTTTGTGTTAATGTGTACACGCCTATTCCTCTAAGAGAATTGTGGTCTAAGGGTGTCAGCACCTTTTCTGTGTTAGACATGGTCTGTTTTGTGTTCATGCCTTTTTTAGGCAAAATGTGGTTTGGCCGTGTGCCTTATTCACTTCATCCATTGCATCCATTGCATCGTATTTTGTTTTGTTGTATTCAGCATGTAGGATCACGATCTTTCCTCAGCAGATCATTCCTCACTTATATCATCCCACTGAATTACTTGTATCTTGTTTTCTTTTTGCGAAACACACAGTTCTGCATGTGCATACACCTATCCCACTAAAGAGAGTTGTGGTTTGAGGTTTCCGGCACCTTTTCTGTGTTAAACGTAGTTTGATTCTGCATCTCCATCCCTTTATGATATTTGTGTGGTTTTGCACTGCTCGTGATTTGATTATCTCAATTACATTGCATATCATTTGCATTGTTTCATTACATTGTATGTCATTGCACATTGTTTTGGTAATATTGCATATCATTCTGCATCCTGCCCCTAAACTACGCTGGTTTGATTCCTTGCAAAGGGATACGTAGGCAGCCTATGGGCGCAACCATTTATTTATTTGTTTGTCCAAGTCTTCGGCCTTGTCAAAAATGGGTCGTCTCTGGGCTTTGACATTCGCTCACGTCATTTCATGACTTCGAGCTCTGTCAAAGAGGGGCAACTGTAAACACCCCATTTTTTACTGCCCTTAAGACTTGGGCGTTACTGATGGTTTACTTGGTGTTGAAAGTTGTGCAGTGCAAAGGTTCGGTTTCTTTGGCAAAGAGAGAGTCAAATCCAAACCTTATACCCCATTTTTGGACCAAAACTATTTTGACCAAAGATTTTAGACCTTAAAACCCTTTCTTTCAAAATATTTTTGAAATAAAGTTCCTACGATGTTCCGATGCTCGCATTTTGTTAAATATTGCGATTTTCAGTAAACTGAGCAGGGAAAAAGTAGAAATGAATGAAAGAGAGGTGAACTCTTTGAAAAATCTTCTAAAACATTTTGTTTAGAGGTTTCGAGTTGAAGAAAAGAGGAGAAGAGGGAAGAAACCAAGCTGGAGAAGAAGATGGGCACGAATCGCTAAGAGAGAGTCGAGCAGCCCTCGCTAAATCAGGGCTATCAGTTTGCACACTTGGATTTCAGCTATGAGGCCGCCACTATTGGAAAGAAGACTTCTGGGGCTTCATTTTGCACTCAATAATCCCCTAAAGCCAAGTCCGGATGGGGGAGATATAGTTGGTTGAAGTAGGGCATCAATCCGGTTGGACCGAAACTTAGCAGTCTTCACTAAAAGAGGGATATCTCTTAGCACAGTTGAAATTTTGATGTGAGGCTGCCACCATTGGAAATTTTACTTCCAGGGCTTCAATTTGCACACAAGAATGACCTGAAAAGACATCCAGGTGAAGGAGTTAGGCTTGCTTCAAGTCGGAGACCAGGACTGATTTTTGCTGCAGACCACTAAGGGAGTGTGCCGACCACAAATGGAGCATGCCGACCATATGCCGACCAGAAATGATCCTTGTCGACCAGAAAAAGTGGTTGGTCGACCAGTGGAGGTAGTCGGTCGACCACTTTTTCCTAGAAAGCCCAGAATTGACAGATATTTTGCTCCAGCACTGAATACTGAAAAATTAAATTTGAATTTGGCCTTTTGATTTTCTCTGTCATTCTATCTGATCTTGGGGATTGAATTTGGCCTTTTCATTTGGGAATTGTGGCCTTTTCATTTGGAGTCTTACATTGCCATAAACCTATTAGCGAAATGTTAAACCTATTCATAATCAGCTTTATAAAGCTTTATGCCAGTGATTTATAAACCAGGTTAAACCTGTTCATAAACAGTGATTTACGCAGGTTAAACCAAATTCAAGTATTCAGTATTCAATCTGTGATTTATTGTGATTTACGCAGTATTCAGTATTCATAAATAATGTATATCTGTGATTTACGCAGGTTACCTGTTCATAAGCTGAATTTGCAATAATACTGAATACTTTATAAAACTGATTTACGCATGTTAAACCTGTTCATAAACAGTGATTTACGCAGGTGTCATAAAGTTGTAACATACTTGAATTTGGAATTTGGAATAAGCTGTCATAAAGCTGTAACAACGAAATTTGGAAAAACCAACTATCCTTCATTTGAAATTATGAAAACCTGTTCATAAACATATTCATAATTTATGAAACCTGTTCATAATCTATGAAACTTGTATCTATGAACATAATCTTCGAAACCTGTCTATCCAAGATTATGACAGGATAGACATAATTTCATAAACCTGTTTATCCCAATCTTGGAAACCTGCTCATAATTTCATAAACCTGTTCATAATCTATGAAACCTGTATCTATGAAACATAACAGGATGGATCCAAGATTATGAAACATAATCTTGGTTTTCATAATTTTATAAACCTGTTCACAAACCTGTTCATAATCTATGAAACCTGTATCTATGAAACAGGTTTTCCCATTAAATGAAAAGGTAAATTATGAAAACCTGTATCTATCTATCTATCTTCTAAAATGAAACATGTTTTACTTGATCATTTTGAAGACTAATGTGTCCAGATTTTTTATGCAAATCCCTTTCTTTCTTTTTTTTAAAAGTAAGATTGACACATGAAAACAAAGAAAATGTGTCGACATCAAGGATGAAACCATCAACTTCTGGAGCCTTATGTCGTTGTCGTTTACAATGCTTTCGCATAAGCTCATCTTGGGCCTGAAAATCCATCGGCTTCACTTTATCTCTCTTAGAAATTTCAGAAATTGCCCCTAACTTTTGAGGATGTTCAGAACTGTTCAGTACATGTGACACAACATCCATCCCTTGTTGGCTAAAATCCCCATCCTCAACTAAGTCACTGCTTGAGGGGCTAGTGTCATGATAGTTGGTGAATGTAGACTGAGAAATAACACTTCTATCTGAATGACTGCTAGTAGCATCCAATGATTGAATGAAGTCACAAGCACCTCGTCCCTGTAAGAATTTAAATAGCATTATGAAGCACGAATAGCTTTTAAAGATTTATTTATCCAAGGAGATAAATTTCAGAAGTGCAAAAATAAATGAGTAGTTAATACCACAATCCAATTATATGGTTCCACGTACATTTATTGTCCATTGATTAAAATGACACTTTTGTCCTCATAAGCCATCACCACACCTCTTTTTAACTTCTAATTCCATACTGTTATTGCCCATATTCTACTCAACTTATAGATTTTAGCTTAAATAAAGCAGAATCTAACTGTTTGTTACAGCTTTATGACACCAACTAAAACTTATAACAGCTTTTTTGGAGGGTAAATAAGCTGATTTTCAGAATCACCTCCAAGGGTGATTCTGATTCTGAGCTTATGCAGAAGGTAGTGCACCTTGAAACCCATCACTCGAACTCCATCTCTCAGCAGCACCAGCACCAGCGTGACAATCTGAGAATGGCAGCTCCACTACCTTTCTATGAACTATTTTTTATTAACTTTAGGACCAGTACTATCATAAATGTATTCCTTTGTTCATCCTCTCACAGGTACTTGCATTGAAATCATTCCCAAAGCCGGTGTATGTGGTTTTGATGCATGCGTATTCTCTATCCACATCTTTTCTCCACCGGGGCAAAATGTATTTACTTGGCACCTCATTTATGCATATTCTGACAAGCACAGCGAGTGAGTGAGCACACATAATGTCTCTAAACTCAAACAACCGACATATGCATTGAACTTCACATTCAGTTGAATTAAAATAGACAACAAAGTCCACATGCTTCATCTTCTCACAAACTACCATCGTTTCTTGGACATTATATGTAGAAATTGATCCCTCCTCTTCTACAATCACCGCCTGACAGTAAACTAATCTCTTCAACTCTCCTTGAACTTCTTTGAATTTCGCATTGGTGTAGGTTTGCTGAAATTTCTTCTCAAAACCATATATAGTTAGGCAATCAAACAATTTGTGTCGAGACTTGAAGCCTGCTTTCTTCTCTTTCTCTAGCTTATTTCTCAAGGCATTGTCATATTGTTCAACGAATTGCTTCAGTGTAATTTTTGGATTTACATATCCATCAAAAAACGCATTCACACTTTCACTTCGTTGTGTACTTGACATGCCAGCCCAAAAAATATCTTTAACATAGACAGGTACCCATCGATGCCGCTTATCATATAGTACCCCCAACCACTCATTATCATAAAGATTAAATGTTGCAAGCATCTCTTCACATTTACTCTCAAATTCAGTTCTTGTCAAACAGTCATAAACTGCATTTTGCATAGCCAACTTTATGGCTTCATACTAAGCATATCCTTTCAACTTCTTCGAAATTTTCTTCATGATATGCCATAAGCACCACCGATGTCGAGCTTGTGGAAACACAATTTCTATAGTATTTTGCATAGCTCTACACTGATCAGTTATGATAGCTTTTGGCGGATGATTTGACATACAACTTAACCATGACTTGAATAGCCAAACAAATGTGTTAGTGTCTTCACTAGACAACAATCCATAACCAAGCAAAATAGACTGTCCATGGTGATTAACTCCGACAAATGGAGCAAATGGCGTGTCATATTTGTTCATCAAATAAGTTGTGCCAAATGAAACGACATCTTCATAAGTCGTCCGACTCTTTGCATCAGCCCAAAATAAGTTTCTAATGCGAAACTCCTCATCAACATCAATCACATAAAAGAATCTCTCACTATGTGCTTGCATTCTCATAAAATAACTTTGAAGTGATTCGGCATCACCTTCCCCAAGCCTCAACCTTCTAGCTCTCAATGTAATTTCTTGCATCTCGCTCGTCAAATGTCAATGACTCGTATCCCCCTGCTTCAACAACCATTGAATGAAAGTTCCTAGACACCCCAATCCCTGCTTGATCATTAATTTCTAATCTTCTCTTCACAGGAGTAAGAATTTTCTTATTCATTGCAAAATGACGTGAGTCGGTGGGAATCAAATCATGATTATGCTCAAGGTTAACTGTGGTTAGTTTATATCTCCCATCCTTTTGTACACTACCTCGTACCCTTGCTGTGCAACCAATCTTTGTGGACAAACATGGCTTCAAAGGGTTGACTTCTGATTTCTTTTTTCTCTGCCCCGCTCGAGAACATTCAATTGCAAAGTTTAGCAATTGCCCATCATCTCCAAAATGTTGCACTCTATGAGCTATAGAAAATCCAACATGCTTAGCATATTTGCCATAATATGTGTACACCTCTTCCCTTGAGCTAAAACCCATACCCTTTTTAGGTTCTTCAACGTCTTCGCCCTCATGTATTAAAGGATTCTCACCAACATTTGAATCAACCTCCATTCTTTCACTTTGCGTACTGAAATAACAATTAAACAAATACAGCTATTAGAACAATTAACTTGCAGCACAGAGAAAATAAACTTGATTGAAGCGAATGAACTGTAAAAGAGGTAATAATTGTATATAAGGGTTCAAAACTAATGGTGCACCAAAATGAGAAACATCCCCACTGCCATTAGAGAAACCTGCACATTGATCCTTAATGATATACTAGAAGGAGCTCAAGAACACAATTCTGAGCTGGATTACAGTGAATGATCTAAAGCACCTAACAATTTGAATTTCAGAGGAGTCACCACCAATTAACAGGCGAAGAGGATCCAATAATTCAATATCACATGAAATAGTATTAGTACCTACAGAGTCTACAAGTAAGTCCTCAACATTTTTCGGATAAATTTACTTATGAACTGTGAAAAGCTCATTAGAACATCTGAATTGCCTAACACAATTAAGATGTTTTAATCACATAACAGACTCCAATCCAGATCAAACCCCTAGAGAACATTCTAGGTGATATATCATCAATAGGGCGTACGAATGAAGTTATACTACAAAGGCAATAGGGTAGTAAAACCAAAACCCAATGGATTTGGATATGACACAATGCCTTAGGTTCCATTCCATTTGCTTAAACTAGCACATCTACTTGAAAGTTTTCAAGGAAAAACTCGTCATACCTCAACATATACTTTGGTAGAAAATTTATAATGCCTCTGCAGTGAGCTAAACAAAAAGAAAAAGATATCTCTTTACACCCAACACTTGTTTTCCACTGTTTGTTTCAACTGAAAGTAGTTCCTGAAAATTATGAGCAGCAACAATTAATTATCTCCATTCAGTTTACTACCTACAGGGGCACAGAACTATAAATTTTCCTACAGATTGATGGACAGAGAACAACCCAATTGATGAGAGCGACGAAGATTGAGAATAGATGAGAGCGAGCTATGGAGATATTACCATTCAAAAGTGTATTGGAGGCACAGTAATTTGATATTGCTCAAAACTTTTGCCGTCGTCGAAATTCCCACCGAGCTATGGCTGTTGTCCAGAATACATTTTTGCAGAAATTCGGCGAGCTATGGCCGTCGTCGGTGGAGGAGGAGGATGGCGGCGAGAGGTGAGGATAGACGAGCTACAGGTTTGGTTCTCGCTTTTTCCAGACTTTGTTTTTCTTTTTTTTTTCCAGCTGTATTTACACATCAGCTGTCATGTCACTAGGGGTCGGAAATCACTGGGGGTCTGTAGCGGGGTTGCCCCACTAAAATAGAGGCCGTTTATATATAATATTTTATCTCATTCTTGTTTGACTCACTCTAACTGTCTCTTTTAAAAATAACTATATACTTCTCATATGATTTTAGATTACAGAAATGATACATTCCTTTAATTTGAGAGGTCTAAAAGAATACTAATGATGTGAAAAATCAAAAAAAAAAAAAAATTAAGATCAAAACGTCACATCACATAAGACTCACACACCAATTAAAACTATTAAAAATTTTAATTTAGAGCTCCTAATCTTTTTTCTTTTGATTAATTTGTAACACTAACACCATTAAATTTACTTGCAGAAAACACTTGTACAAACTTATTTTATCATTGCTCTTTGTCCAATATGAACCTGACAAACCAAAGACTAGAGACAAGAGTTTTTACCCCCAAGAAAAGGTAATGGCCTCGTTTCTACCCCCAAGAAGACGGAATGGCAATCCACTGAAGACCTTGATTTGGACATAAATATTCTTATTTACATATTTTAATAATTTTTAATTATATATATTATATTATATTACAATAATAATAATTATATCTAAGTGCTCATGACATGAGACTTTTCAAAACAATCAAGTGTTCTTATACAGTTTATAAAACTCTAATCTTTTAACACTGGCATCAAAATTTCATTCCACACTCAGAAGCTATGGGCTCAACCTCTAGTGTTCTTGTGATGTTATTTGCTCTTTTTTTCATTGAAAGACTTGAGTTCATTTGTAGTAGTACAAATTCAAATGTGAGTTGCATAGCGAGTGAGCGAGAAGCTCTTATGAAATTCAAAGGAAATCTCACAGATGAAGCAAACCGTTTATCCTCGTGGGTGGTTGGAAAGGACTGTTGCACATGGAAGGGAGTTAGTTGTAGTGAAAAAACAGGCCATGTTGTGAAGCTTGATCTGCATAATCCAATTTCCGACGACCATGATCCAAATTTCCAAATGAACCAATTGGGTGGTCAGATAAGTCCTTCCTTACTCGATTTAAATCATTTGAATTACCTAGACTTGAGCATGAATTCATTTTATGGTCCGCTGCCATCATCACTCGGAAGACTATCATATTTGAGAGTGTTAGATACTGGAGACAATCAATTGAATGGGAGCATTCCAATTAGTCTTGGACAACTTTCAAAACTAGAATCTCTAGATTTGTCAAACAATTCATTTGTTGGCACCGTATTTGAACTTCACTTTGCCAAACTCAAGAGTTTAAATGAATTGTACTTGCATTCAAATTCATTAGTTTTGAATGTGACCTCCCAATGGGTTCCTCCCTTTCAACTCCAAGTCATACAATTGTCATCCATCAAAGTAGGACCCCAATTTCCTCAATGGCTCAAAACACAAAAAAATGTTACAGAGTTATACGTGTCTAATGCAAGCATCTCAGTTGTCATTCCTGATTGCTTTGAGAGTATATATTGTGGCATTATACACTTGGATCTTTCCAACAATCAGATCAAAGGAAAGGTGCCAATATTTCAAAAATGTAAATATAGAGATAGTGTTGATGACAAATGGTTACAATTGAGTTCTAACAGATTTGAGGGCCAACTAACACCGCTTCCTTCACATGTTTCTTTCTTAGATCTCTCCAATAACTTGCTTTCAGGACCTATTACTGTGAGTGATGATAATGCGACGATGAGCTTCTACTATCTTCTTCTCTCAAATAACCATTTGACTGGTGTTATTCCAGTGTCTTTGTGCAAGGCAAAGTATATAAATCTTATTGATTTCTCAAACAATCAGTTATCAGGAAAAATTCCTTCTTGCTTGGGGCAGTTGGATCATTTGTCAGTGCTAGATTTGATGAATAATAGTCTATATGGTGAAATTCCAAGTTCATTGGGTTCCCCACAATTTCTCAAATCCTTGCACTTGCGTAACAATAAGTTTTATGGGAAGCTTCCTTTGTCCTTACAGAATTTGACATTTCTTTTCACCATTGATCTAGGTGAAAATATGTTCACTGATAATATCCCTCCATGGATTGGATATAACCTAACTTATCTTACATTTCTCAATCTTCAATCAAATAATTTCTATGGTGATATTCCTCCGCAACTCTGTCATCTCCAAAACTTGCAATTGTTGAACCTAGCACAAAATAACATAAACGGGAAATATCCCTCGTTGTTTTGGCAACTTCACTGCCATGGTTGCACCAGATCGTGATCCAACTGGAACGGAACTGGATTATTTTTACGAAGAGAACATTTTGGATTCAATGAAAGGAAGAGAACTGGAATACACCAAGACACTCAAATTTCTCATCTCCATGGACCTTTCAAACAATGGCATTGTTGGAGAGATTCCAGAAGAGTTAATGGATCTTTCTGGGTTGCTGAACTTGAATTTATCTGGAAATCATCTAAAAGGAAGGATCCCTAATAATATTGGCAATTTGACACAATTGGAATCTCTTGATTTGTCTCGAAACAATCTTTCTGGCCCCATTCCTCCAAGTCTGTCCAGTTTAACCTACCTAAGTCATTTGAACATGTCATTCAATAATTTATCAGGGCGAATACCAACTGGAAATCAACTTCAAACTCTCGACGATCATTCCATTTATATAGGCAATGATGGCCTTTGTGGTGCACCACTAAATAGCTGCCTCGATGATAAACCATCTGATGGTGATCACAAACATGCTGATGAGAGTAAAGTTACAGATGAAACTGATTTTTTGTGGTTCTACACTGGCATTGGACCTGGTTTCTTGGTTGGGTTCTTGGGGGTTTGTGGCACTTTGAATTTCAAGGAGTCTTGGAGGTATGCATACTTCCAGTTCATTGAAAACAACTACAATTGGATATCAATAAACATAGCAATCAAGTTCGCTCGGCTAAGGAGGAAGTTCAACAAAGGCAAATTTGGAGGATGAATTTATCAACCAATTGGTTCGTGTCTCTCTCTCTCTCTCTCTCTCTCTCTCTCTCTCTCTCTCGTCATGTACCTATATTACCTCTGTATCTTGTCATGATTGCGATGTGTGCATCAAATCAACATCTTCATAACCCATGATTTATCTTGCATGAATCTTTCGAATTTTTATCAATTCCTTACTATCATTAACATAACAATGCTATTCATGTTAATGATTTTTGGAACATCATCACGACTTGAAGAATAACCATTCATATTTTAAAGTACATATTAATTTCCACCTAATTTCTTTACCAAAAGCGCCAAAATTCTTTGTCACATGCTTAAAAACATTGAAGGAAATGCAGGATTGTTGTTATATAGTTCGAATAATGCAAATACATTTCTCAAATAATTTTTCAGAAGTCATTTGTTGCATTATTTCAGAGAAACCACGATAGCATCTACTAATATGATTGTTATATGCTTTGCTGCCATCAAAGGGTCTTATATTCAGCTGGAGAAAGGAGCCTCATAGGAAAGCAACATTGAGATCATGTTATGGATTTTCTTGAGTTGGTGGAAAGAAATAAGTTTGAATAATTCTATAGTTCTAGTATATATGTTGATTTTGTGCCTTAAATAAATGGTTTGTGAACTATCATATTGTCCAGGATATGTTATAGACTGTATTTTGCATATATATGTATTCTCCTTTTATTGGTGAATTCTATGATTTTTCCAATTGAGGCCATGGATTCTAGTTATAATTTTGAGAATTGAGCAAAATGCTCCAACAATGATATACATATAGTAATGGAATCACTAAGAAAAACCTAATCAAAACAGAGAGCTATTGTGCAACAGTCAAATTCACATATAAGTTCAACTATTCATGTTTTTCTTCACATTGCATTGGTAAGTTGGTTCCATCACCCCCATTGTGTAATTATCCTTTTTGTCCTTATTAGTCATAGAGGTTCGAGAGTAAAAGAGAAATAAGTGGGGGGAACTATTCATGTAGGAACCATAATTAAGTAAATTTCCAATTAAAAAATCTTCCCACACAAGCAAAAGTTGAAAACCACCATCTAAGGACATTTTCAACCCCTATGGTTTGAGAAGTGGTTATTTTAATTAATTGTTTGATTTTTTACGAAAAGTAAAAAGACTGATGTGATAATTTATAGTGACTTTTTAACTATATTAGTCTAATGCCAAACAAGGTTTATTTATTAATTTATTTATTTGTTTGGATAAATTGCCAAACAAGGTTTATCAAATTTAAATTTAAATAAAAATCTTGCAAAACACCTCTCCACTAATTAACTCAAATTTATATGAAATTGAATTTTACCCATTTATTAACCCAAATTAAAGGAGACTTGAATATATACTCGAATTTTTTCAAGATCATTTTGTAATTTTCAAATTTACCACTCTGCCATTACTGAAGATTTACTCAAATTTACGTTCATACCTAAGTTTATCCATTGGAATGTCATATCAAATCAAACTTCGATTTTTAATTAAATTTGCAGCAGTGCTACATCCATACAATTTCTTCCCCTCACAATCCCCCTAATGAGATGGCAAAACCAAATGCATGTAAAGAGAGTTTTGAGGAAATATTTGAATGTGGGTCAACTTTTCAAATTTTGCTTGTCACATCATTTGAGGGGAAGGGGTGGAGGGGTTTTAGGAGGGGGGGGGAAGAGAGAGAATTATGTGGATGAATAATTTTTCTTAAATTTGATTACAAATTTAAGGGCCGTAGATGGCCTAACAGACTTTTTAAAATTTGCCGTGAATTAAGTTGAAATAAGCTTAAATTATTTTACAATAGGCCTACATAGACTTAGTTTATTGGTTTTGTCGTAATGCTTGGTTAGTTGGCTTATTGTTTAGGGTAAATTACACCAGTAATCTCTACATTTTATTTCTTGTGTCATTTTAGTCCCTTCAATTGGCTCAATTTTGACCATTCATTTTAAATTTTGTATCAATTTAGTTCAATTGATAATATTGTTAGTGTTTTTTAAAGAAAATTTTCACTAAATTTGTTAACTCATAGAATTGAGTAAGTTTATAATTTTACCCTTAAAAATATGACACATAACACTTAAGGGCATATTTTCTATAAAAATAAAAAAAATAAAAATGCTAAGAGTTCAAATCAATTGAACCAAATTGAGACAAAGTCATAAATTTAGGGTTAAAATCGAGCCAATTGAAATTACAAGAACTAAAATTTCACAATGACTAAAATACAAGAACTACCGTCGTAATTTGCCCTATTGTTTATTGACTAATACCATTCTAAAGCAAGGCAAATACCTAACCTTAAGAAATTGTGAGTGTTGAGCAAGAATTCTAAGGTTGACTTAATAAGACGCCTATAAAAATATAAAAATATAAGTTGATCCAACAAGGTTGAACTAGTTACTCCAAAAAAAAGAGCCTAAAAGAGAACAAAATGGGAGAGTTAATTCAATACTTAAGTGTCAAAGGTTATGAGGATGAGCAGGGCTGTGTGCCTTTGTGCCCTCCTAGGAATGCTTTTTAGTGTCTATCTTGGCTTATTTTTGAATGTGTGTCCAAGGAATTTGGAGGAAAGAAAACACATATCACTTTATCTAAATATTTGGTATCTACTTTTTAACTCATTTCTTTAAAAATTAACCCTGTGTTTCCTAGAAAACAAAAATAAAAAATGAAACACAATAAATAAATAAAAAGTGATAATCCTCATGTCTTCCATCTCATTTTTGTTTTCAATCTTATGATTTTTAATCTTCTCCTAATCGACAATTTGAAATCCAAATGTACAGATCAATCATACAGCATTGTGGCAGGAGGATTCATGATGGCTTCATCACTTTGACAATCAAAGTTCTCCATTACTTCAGTGCCAAATGTTTACAGTTCAGATACTTGATGCCACTGCAGTCTGCACATTCGACTACATCCATACCATTTTGGGTTTTGTTGACTTGATCAGTTTCTTCAATGTACTCTTGATTTTGATTTGTTTAATCTCTTTGTAAAGTTCATTCAAGCCAAAATGCTGTCATCGATCACTATTGAACCAACACAATTGCAACAGCCTAACATTTCGAACCACAATTACTTTTATCCAGTCCACTAAAGAAACCTGGACACATATGGAGAGGGTTGCTTCAAATGGAGATAGCATTATTTGAGCCTACTTTGATTCTAAGGGCCTCATCATCTTCAACCTCACTCCATTCTTATTAATAATCAAACCTACGTAACAAAATTGCTCACCCTTTGGTATCTCCTGCTTTTCAACCTCAACTTGTCTGTTATTTCTATTTCTACTGTTATTAAAGCAATATTCCATATGTACAATGTCAGTATTATTTTAATTTATTTATTTTTTTGCTAAATCCATAAAAACTATAAGCATATTCTTCTTCTTTTTCCTCCGTATTTTTCTATTAATCTCCTTGGACAAAAATTCCAGCTAAATATTTCACTGATTTAATATGAAACCAAGAATAATCAAATGGGGAAAATAGAGATCAATTGATAAATTTATAAAATTACCAAAAGAGCATATGGCAAAATAGTTGGGGTTAAAAGTGTCTATAAGCAAATGTTCACTATCTTATAAAACAGCAACTGTTTTTAGGTAAATTATATGAAAACAAGCTACAACTTAACCGTATGAGAAACAGGGTAAGGAATGTAGAATCAGTGCAGTTCTACACCATTGAGCCAATGAAGTGCAGGTAATATCTTAACCAGAAACAACTTAAACTCTTCTTCAGCAACAACATTCCCAATAATGTCTAATTGTGTCAACTTCGAGGCTTTAAAAATTGCAAATGCTTCCAAGTAATTTGTCACATTGACACCACTAATTGCAAATTCACCAAAATTCCAATCACTTCTTAAGTTCCTACTGTACGGGAGAGGGGAGAAGAGCACAAGTACCTTCTTGTGTCGACAGCGTGTGCACTGATTTCGTTGTATGAGATATCCAACACTTTCAATGACTTTACTAGTTTTAAAGGCTCCAGGGTAGAAAAACTACCCATTTTGTTGTTTCTGAGGTTCAAGCAAGGAAGAAGCTGCATAGCCTGCAATCCTGTCATAAAGACCGATAAAAGCACTCAATTACTTGCATTTAAATGATCATTAGAAATGCCTTTTAAGCATCAAAATGCACCATGAAACTATCAAGACTTTGACTGGCACCATTTTACAAATAAAGATGGCCATGCAATAAACTAATGTTGTACAAATGTGTTTATGTATAATATTGGATATATGAAGACATAATACACACATATAGATGGACAGACAGACAGACAGATAGATAGATAGATATAGAAATACAATGAATTGAAAATCCGAACCACAAAAACAGATTCAAGTGGCAATGAAAATTTTAAAGAATTATTTGTAGTTTACCTTCAATTGAGATAAGTTGGTTGTGGCTGAGGTCTAACATTTGGACCCACAGTAATTTCTCAATAGACCCAACATGTGACAATGAAAGATTACTGAGTCGTAAACAGATATAATTATTGGTGCCTGATGATGCCGAGTCCCAGTAATGACAGCAATGCCTCAGCAAAGATTCCGGACTGGAGGTCAGCCGCAGAAGCACAAAAAATATGAGAATCTGGGTTATGGAAAAATCAGTAATCTATATCAAAGGTTCAAGGCAAATCTTTAACACTAACTCTTACTAATATTATTGACTAGAGATCTCTCAGAGTTTGTGTTGAAAAGAACTATCAGAGATTCTTACACAAGACATTCATAATTCCAATGAACATAACTATATAGTTAGTTAGACTAATCTCAATAAAAATAATAATAAACCCACTATATGAACAGATCAGCCACTAAATAGTTGAACTAAGTTTGGTTTTACTTTGAATACTAGATGAACTTATTGAAGAAGCATGCCCCATCTGTTTACTTAAATGAGCATGTAAAACAGCATGTTTATAGGACTGCAATACAAGTACAATTATTTGGACTTTGGATGGCTAAAGGGTCATTTGACCTAGTTCTTAAGCAAAATGAGTGAAAGCTAAAGCAAGAGTTGAGCCAATTTCTTTCAGTTTAAATGTGAAAAACTCTTCACTATGTTGAGCAAAACCCCTCAAACCTAATAACATTTAGATTCTTTAATACGAGGGCATTCAGTAGCCACCATCAGATTTCTAATTTGATGCAAGCATGATGAGTGGTGACAACCTCATGTGTAACATAGACCAATTTAAGATAGCAGTGTGTGGGAATGACATGATCCAAGTTGAAGGTGACTTTAGCCTAAGAGGGTGTGTGGGTTGAGGCTGTGAAAACATGCCTTTGTATAGGGACAATTGAAGAAGACTGTTTCCATGGGACTTTGCCACCTGGGCTTGTTAAGTTGAAAACATATATTTTCATTTTAAGTGTCGTTTTACTAATATATTTTAAGCCTATCTATGACTTTATATAATGAGCTTTGAGGCATAATTTCATATAAGATACCTGTGCTGGCCAATCAAGTAATCAATACATCAGTAGGATATTAAAACCACCAGGAAATAATATCTGATGGTATTCACAAAATGAGCAGAGACAAACTGGAGTAGCTTGTCTGTTTTGGCCAAACTGAGCTCAAACAATAACAGTACAAATTCAACCGAACAAGAACCAGGCACAAGCACTGCTCCTTACCTGCTAAGTTAAGCACAAACACACAATACATTGTTTGCTTCTCAACTCAAATCAGCTTGTTCTTACTCCTAAATGCAATTGTTCAAAGCTCTAGCTCTCCTCAAGGAGAACATGAAATATTAAAGAGATACTACTCATACATCCAGCACAACAATAAAAAATGAACCTAAATGGACTGTGCTTTCCTAAACAGTAATATAGAAGAGAAGAAATATTCACCTGCTTTAACACGACTAAGCTATATTCATCCTTGTAGTATTGAGAATGTGGTGGGTCCAATGTCATCCACTTTGATCATCTGGGTCGGTAAAAAGAGCTTGATGTACAAGGTCATACTCCTCTGTCAGAACTTTCTCCTTTGAGAAAAATCCTTGAGCCCTTTTCTCCAGTAAATGAGACAGAATTACACTGCAGAACATTTATGGTAAGGTTGAAAAGGAAAAACAAAAGGCACAATTGGACAGGAAACTTAATTTTCTAATCCTGCTAGAATAGATAGAATATCAAAAGGTAGCAGGCGTTTCATCATGCAGTTTCCACTATAATATTAATGTGCATACGAATTGATCATTTGACTCCAAAGCAAGTTGAAGGTTAATCAAGCTACAATTTTATATAACATCACATGCCAGATTTACACACATAGAAAGCTGCTTAAACAGTAATACATACAGAAAAATTCCGTTGAAGAGTAATCTAAAATAAACACCATTTGTTTCTTTTTTGGAATCTGTTAGGCTAATGACCATTTAAATAGTGAAGTGCTTATCAACTTATGATATAAGGAATAGAACTAATGAATATTTTTTCCCCGGTTCCACAAGATGCATGAAAAGAGACAGCATTTCGCAACCTTGCATCACAATATACCATCAATACAAGTTACATGTTTTAAAGTGGATGTGTTATATAACATTGCATGCCATCAATATCTTATCAACCTTGCATCACATTACAAGATAACTTATACCCAGTTTGTCATGCTTTACCTATTTTGAATGTTTTATTACATAAACAATAAGTCATATGGTTTAAAGTGGATATTTGAATATTTTGTCTTTAACTAAAATGTCATAAAAAATAAAAATAAAAACCCCTATGTTGCAGAAAATCCACAAATTTTTTTTGTATGTTCTATATAACTATGCATACTACCTCTAGACATTCTGCATCTAATGGGACCAAAGCTAGAACTAATTTCAAAGTTCCAACACATTTTTCCTAAAGCAATTTTTGCAAAAGAATCTAAGGATTATACAATTAAAGAATTATCAGTGATAACTTGATAAGATACATCATAGACATTGTGAAAACAAATTATAACTGAACCATGAAGCCAGATAAAACATTATGACTTTGGCACATCTCATTGTAATACTACAATAACAACAGGCACGAAAAAAAACTTGAGAATCAAGCAATGGCACAAAAAAGCATTTTTCTCCATTTTAATTATGATGATCCAAATGGTAAAATAATATTGAGATACAAGCATACCTACAATTATGCCAAGAAGAATAGTTACTGAAGTTTTCGTTTATGATGATCTGTTCTTTAATGCTGCCACAAATCTGAAAATAAATACCAAATTAGACCATTTGAAAATACAGTCCTTCAATATATTAAAGTAAATCAAACCCAAATCTTCACACATTTACGATGACACCAGGCACCATAAGACCTATAATTCTTTGCCAATGCACGCTCTGTTTACATATATATTGAGTTCTTTCATAAAATTCAAAATAAATTGAACCCGAACACAATACACAAAACATAATTACAATTGGCCGTTGAAAAAACCAAAGAAAAGAAAGCAACGTAATATTTCAAAATCACATGGTTTAAAATTTTAAAATTTCAAAACAAACTTTGCACTGAACGCAATTTAACCAAATAGCCCAATTTGGCACAGCTGAATTTCTTTTTCTTTTCCTTCAGTTTTTCAGCAACCAAACAGCATCAAATACATGGACAGAAAAAGAAATAGATATAAATTTTCATATGAGTGGTTCCGACAAACGTACAACTCTCAGTTCTTCACTGTAAATAGATTTAATGGAGTCTGGATCAATCTCTGTATCAGTCTCAGAATGACTGAGAATGTGTTCAACAGCAAATTTTCGGTAATTCCAAGTTGTGAGATACTCAGGATTGGCCTCTAGAAGCTTCGCATTGACATCTAGGGCTTCTTTCGTGTAACTGAACAATTTGCACATACAAATACAAGATTGTTCAAAATTATCAGTGTTTATTAGATCACATCAGTGCCGGCTTAAGCGTAAGGAAGATAAAGCATGTGCTTTAGGACTCAAGATTGTGCAAAGGCCCCAAAATTTTGGGAAAATTCTCAAAGGCCTCAAAATTTTCAACACGCCAAAAAACCTATCTATGTTTTTTTTTTTTTTTGGAAAAAAAAAAAGACCATCCAACGAATTTTCTTATATTAACATAATTATTATTATGTTTTTTTTTTGAAGTGCAGAAAAAAGACAAATTCTAATCTACCATTTTATGTGTTGTTTGCCTTATCTTATTTAGAAATAAATACATAGTTTCTTGTGGTTTGTAAGCTAAAGTGTATCATTAGACATTCCGTCTAAATTAGCAATAAGTGTAAAACACTTGCCTCGCTGATCGTATCATTTTTACACGAATCAAGGAGATGCGAGTAATCATTATTTACATGATTACAATACAGTCAATTGTCCTGTAAGTTCCTGTTCAAAAAAAAAAATTGTCCTGTAAGGACATTAAAAACGCCTATAAGACCTCAACCGTAGTAGGCCTATGCATTAAGAGAAAAGCCTTCCCACTCATTTTTTAAAGCTTCATGAGAGCAATATTCACTTGAGGCAGGTTCGACTTGTCTATTACCGGCATTCTACGTTTAACACATGCTACACTCAAAAGAGACAACGGCTTCATACTCCATATTTCCCTTCATTGACAGAAATCAAATGTTTAACACATTTTTCTATCAATGAAGGGATATAAGAGGTGAGCAGAGTAGAGCAGAGAGGCAGCCCTTGGGGGGAAGGTAGAGTAATGATGATGTTACATCATTACTATATAACATAAATGTCCTGTAAGGACATCAAAGAGTGTTAAGATTCTTATCCTATGAGTTTGACAATTTCCTCTCTTCACAAAACATATGATCTTGTTGATTATTGGTACATTATCTATATGAGATTTTATGGTCATACGTTTTGATGGTATGCTTGCAAAACATATTCTTGAAATATATTTCTTGGTTTAAAAAATGTTGACTAGGTTGCATTGTTTTCTTTGTCAAAAAAAAAATATTGTTTGTTGATTATCTATCTTGGAATAATCAAAGTATGTTTTTTTTTTTTTTTTGTGTAAGTGTGGCAAAAGCATGGTTTACATAAGTAGAAAATTTAGCTAGAAATAAGGCTACCTGTCTGCTAGATGTTGTCAAAGCACGGGTCATATCATGTTTACATCTTTCTTGGATTGATATTTTTCTTCGATTAATTAACATGTGGGATGCATAGACTTTTTGACAAGTATGGTGAAAAGAGTGATTGGTTTTCTTGCAACGAATGAAGCAAAACATGCCTCAAAACGAGGAGAGAAGAAGGCTGCAAAAAGTTAGAAATTGTAGTTTGTCTGTCATGATCATCGCGCCCGCGATCAAGCTCATAGCGGCTATGAATAGGTCGCGACCAGGCTACGAGGAAATCAGCTCCCAAAAGTTTTTGATCTACAACCCGTGAACATATATGCTCGCACCCGCGAACAACATGGTCACTCTCGCGAACATCAGGTTGTATCTGCGATGGTCACTTGTCTATAGATAGTAAATTTGTTCAGTTGTGTATTTTGAACCACTGAGTAGGTATTTTGAGCGTATCTTTTGAGAGTGATCTATAGTAAGGTTACGTTGTATATTTCTCTCATGTTTTCTTGATGATTCATTCTCACTTGTTCTTTCATGAAATCATCAAGTCTAAATCAAATCACCAAATAACTTGTGAGTGTTCTTAAAAAGTGAGTGAATCGTGGATTCGACATCTCTCTAATAACGGCGGATATCCACAGATTGAAGGATATATAGAGGTCAGTTACTTGTAGGTCTCGAGAGAGCACATGTGCCTGGATTGGTCGGTGTAAGAAATCTCTTGTAGTACTCTTCTTCATAGTGGATTGGTATTGTGGCCGAGGGCCCATGGTTTTTTAATCACATGTTGGTGGATTCCAACTGTAGTTTTTCCACGTAAAAATCTTGTGTTGTGTTTGCTTCTTGTTCTTTAGTTTATTGTTAAGCTCGGTTGGTTTGAATCTATTAAAGCAATAATCACAAGATCATGGCCCTATAATTTTTCAATTAGTATCAGAGCGGGACGCTAGTCCTTTGTTTTTCAACAAAGCTATAGTAACGTGATCTGATCTTTGTGCTTATTAACTATGGATTCAAACCAAGAGGGAATCAACAATAAATGTCCTCCTTTACTAGACAGAACAAACTACTCTTATTGGAAAGCTCATATAAGAACTTATTTAAAGTCAATTGATGAGAGAGTTTGGCAATCTGTCATGAATGGTTGGAGCGAACCTATGATTGCTATGGATGATGTTTCTATTCCTAAACTTGTTGACAAATGGGATAATAATGATTACTCGAGTTCTAACTTGAATAGCAAGGCTATTAATGCTCTCTTTAGCTTTGTCACATCTGAGGAAGTCCGCAGAATTTGCACACTTGAAGTAGCTAAAGATGCTCTAGATATCCTTGAGACAATACACGAAGGCACAAATTCGGTTAAACGATCAAAACTTCAAAGACTCACCACTAATTTTGAAACTCTTATAATGAAAGATAATGAGTCTTTTGATGAATTTTATGCCAAACTAAGTGATATTGTCAATTCTAGTTTTACCTTGGGTGAGAAAATTCCTGAATCTAAGATTGTTGCCAAATTTTTGAGTTATCTTCCCAATCACTTTCAATCAAAAGTTACAGCAATAGAAGAAGCTCAAAACATTGACACTCTAAAGCTGGAATAGTTGATTTCGAATTTACAAACCTATGAGACAAATCTTCTCTCAAAGAAAAAACATAAAGATGCTTTAGCTTTCAAAAGTTCTCATGAGGATGAAAGTAAATCTGATGTCGATGATGAATCTGAATCCGAGATATTGGCATTGTTCACAAAACAAAAAACAAAAAAAAAAAAAATTGAAAAAGAAAACGTTAAATCTCAATGATTCAACTTCTAAAGAAAATGGGAATAAGAAACTAAATTTTTTTGTAAAATCTGACAAGTCTAATTCTATATTCCAAGAAGTTAAATGTTATGAATGTGGTAGTCTTGGTCATATTGTTCTTGAGTGTCACAAGGAAAGTGCTCGTTGTTACTTGGGATGATGAAAGCGAGTCAAGTAAAAGGAAAGATGAGGCAAGCTCATTCATGGCATTTCATACAACCCTGGATGAAAAGACATTGGTTGCTAGCAGTGATCTTCCCAGCAAAAACTCTAATGATGAGTCCTCTGATAATGAAGAAGAAGATTTTGAGGAAACCTACGAGAAGATGTACAAGGAATGCAGCAATTTCACAAAGTAGAATTTTGTACTCACTTCAAATTTGAAGAAATGTGAGGAAGAAAAATTTATCAAAAAAAAAAAAACAAGAAATGTTAGGAAGAAAAAGATTCCTTGAATGGGAACCCTCATCATGGACAAAGCCTCCCTGTTTGACAAACTCAACACTTGTGAGAACGAAAGAACCTTTTTTCTTAGTGCCCATGATGAGTTGAAAAAGAGAGTGTGCATTCTTTTAGAAGAAGCGGAGAAGAGAGCTGAAATAATAAAGGAACTTGAAGAGAAATTAGCAAAAAGGGAGCTAGAACTGATAGGAGCCAATGCTACTATCAAGCTTTGGAACACCAACTCAAAGAACTTGAAAGCCCTTAGTGCTCAGCAAATAGGGTTTGAAAGCATGTGCTTTAGGACTCAAAATTGTGCAAAGGCCCTAAAATTTTCGGAAAATTCTCAGAGGTCTCAAAATTTCCAATACGCCAAAAAACCTATTTATGCTTTTTTTTAAAAAAAAAAAGAAAAAGAAAAAGAAAAAAAAAGACCATCCAACAAATTTTCTTATATTAACATAATTATTATTATTTTTTTTTAAGTACAAAAAAAAGACATTCTACTTTACTATTTTATATGTTGTTTGTCTCATCTTATTTAGAAATAAATACATAGTTTCTTGTAGTTTGTAAATTAAAGTGCACCGTTAGACATTCCGTCCAAATTAGCAATAAGTGTAAAACACTTGCCTCATAAGAGTATTTAGCGGGATTTACCTTAATTCACTAATACTGAAATAAGGAAGTAAGGCATGCAATCGCATGCCTCACTGATTGTATCATTTTTACACGAATCAAGGGCATGGGAGTAATCATTATTTACATGATTACAATACAGTCAATTGTCCTGTAAGGACATTAAAGAGGCCTATAAGACCTCAACCGTGGTGGGCTTATGCATTAAGAGAAAAGCCCTCCCATTCCTTTTTTAAAGCTTTGTAAGAGTAATATTCGCTTGGGGCAGGTTTGACCTGTCTATTACCGGCATTCTGTGCTTAACACATGCTACACTCGAAAGCAACAGCGGTTCCATACTCCATGTTTCCCTTCCCTGATGGAAATCAAATGCTTAACACATTTTTCTATCAGTGAAGGGATGGAGGAGGTGAGCAGAGTAGAGAGGCAGCTCTCGAGGGGAGGATAGAGTAATGATGATGTTACATCATTACTATATAATGTAAATGGCTTGTAAGGATATTAAAGAGGCCTATAACGATATCTATAGGTTACTAGATAGTGCATTTTAGTCTGCATATAAATATTGTACTTAGTTTTAGAATAAAGAATATACATTATGATCAAAGTAGAGCTTAGTTTCTGTTTTTACCCCTTAGGGGTTTTACCCCTAATTGGGGCGTTTGTCTTCTCTCTCTCAATTTGATCTTCATTTGCATTTGGATTTCATTATTTGGTATCAGAGCTATAGATCTTGTACTTAATTGTTCCTAATTGTACATACAGTTCGTCAATTAGAAA